GCCTGCTGAGTGCAGAGTGATTAGATTAACAACTCAAGGAGAAAGCACAGAGAATAGATTCTTGTAAGTCTGGAACAGACTGCCTAAGATCAGACAGGGTCAACAGGTGACATCATCAGAGGCAGGTCCAGAAAGAAAAAACAGATGTCTCCTACCATAGAACTTCACACCACAAAGTCAGGAAATCAAGACAGATCAATTGAAGAAGCAGAAGCAAAAAAGGAGAGTCTCAGACATAATGGAAAGACAAAGAAATACCTACCAATTGAAGGGAAAGGAGGAATCCCCAGAAAGAGAACAAAATGAAATAGAGGCAAGTCAACTATCAGATACTGAGTTCCAAACAATGGTTCTAGGGAAGCTCAATGAGCTCAGAGAGAATTACAAAAAACTACAGGGAAACTATGAGGAAATTACTCCAAACTATATCACGATAAAAAAAGGACATAGAAATTATCAATAAGAGACAACAGGAAATAAAGAATACAATTTCTAAATTGAAGAACACAGTAGAAGGAATCAAAAGCAGGCTAGATGAAGCTGAGGATCGAATCAGCGAGCTGGAGGATAAGGCAGAAAAAAGCTCCCAGAAAGAGCAAGATAATGAAAAGAAAGACTTAAAAAGAATGAAGGGGCCTTTAGCAAAATGTAGGACAACCTGCAACGTAATAATATCTGTATAATAGAGAAAGCAGGAGAAGAATAGGAGCAAGGGATAGAGATCCTGTTTGAAAAACTAGTGATGGAAAACATCCCTAGTTTGAGGAGAGAAAAAAATCACACAAGTCCAGAAAGTGCAGACAGTCCCATTCAAGAGGAACCCAGTGAGGCCCACTCCAAGACACATCATCGTGAAAATGGCAAATATCAAAGACAAACAGAGAATCCTAAAGGAACCAAGGGAGAAAGAGGTAGTAACATATAAAGGAGCCTCAATAAGTCTAGCATCTGACTTCCCAACAGAAACACTGCAAGCCAGATGGGAATGGCAAAAAACATTCTAAGTAATGAAAAGCAAAGGTGTGCAACCAAGACTGCTCTACCCAGCAAGGCTCTAAATTAAAATGGAATGTGAAATAAGGAGTTTCCCAGACTAATGAAGGCTAAAAGAATACACCTCCACCAAAGCAACATTGCAAAATATGCTAAAGGGACTGCTTTAAGATCAAGAAAAAAGAGTTTATGAATACCCAGTTCCTTTCAGAGTGACCGATACTTGATATTACCAATATTTTAATGTGTATTAATCTGATTTTGACAATGATATTTTAATTTTTCCTTTATTATTTGTTGAAATTAAACCTTTTTCTTATTTCTTGCCTATTTATATTATTTTTAAAAAGCTTTAAATGACTTTCGGTATTCTTTATCCATTTATTGATTAAAGGTTGTAGAATTTTTTCCCCTAAAATAACAAAAAAAATATATTAGCCCTTTTTTAGATGTGTGGCAAATACTTTTCCATTCTATTACTTGTCCTTTAACTATTTTTATATGTATAGTACTATATAGTCTTAAATATTTAATATAGTCATATTGTCAATATTTTACTTTATAGCTTCTGGGTTTGAATATTTTACTTCAGGGTAAGAAAAATATTAGTTTGTATTTTCTCCTAAAACTCCTTAGATTCCACATATTGATATTTAACTCACCTGAATATTTCTTGTATAATACATGAAATAGGGCTCTATATTTGTTTTATTTCAAGTAATAGTGGACCATGTACCTTATTTGAATAAGCCTTATTCTGAAATATCAATTTAATATGCCTTATTGATCTGAAATATCAATTTAATCATATATTACATTGTTGGGCAGATATATATGTTTGTTTCTAGAATGCTATTATATTTCATTGATCTACTTGATTATTTCTGTGCTGGTGTCATGTTGTTTTAATTACTGAGATTTTATAAAGGTTTTAAATTTTTTAATATTTTATCATTGACTTTGACAGTAAAAAAAAATAAAATTAGTCTGCATTTAAGAAAGAAAGAAGGAAAGAAAGAAAGAAAGAAAGAAAGAAAGAAAGAAAGAAAGAAAGAAAGAAAGAAAGAAAGAGGAAGGAAGGGAGGAAGGAAGGAAGGAAGGAAATGGAATTCCTTCCTTTTGCGACAACATGGATGGAACTGGAGAATATTAAGCTAAGTGAAATAAGCCATTCAGTGAAAGACAAATACCATATAATCTCACCTATCAGTGGAATCTATTCAACAAAATAAACTAAGGAACAAAATAAACCACAGGCATGGAAACATGGAGCAGACTGAAAGTGACCAGAGGGGATGGGCAAAGAGGATGAGGAAAGAAGGGGAAGGGACAAGCCAAAGAACATGTACGAAAGACACATGGACATGGACAACAGAGTGGGAATTGACTGCGGGAATGAGGCAAGGGTGGATGGAAGGGGGTAAAGGGGGAAAAAATGAGACAACTGTAATAGAATAAACGATTTAAAAATTTTAAAAATTAAAAAAATTCCATCCTTTTTTTTAGAACTCACAGTCAAGTATTTACATTTTTATAATATAATGTCTGGAATTTGCCTCAAACTAATTCAAAGGAGTTGGTGGAAACTGTATGAGAATATAGATAAAATAAGATTGGATGCATATTGATATGTTGTTGAAACTGGTAATGGGTACATTTGGTTTGTTATACCACCCTCTACTTAAATATGTTTGGAATTTTCCATGATATAAAATGAAAGAAAAAATTGTACAGCCATGACCAGTGTTTCTGAGCTGGTTGGACATTGTCCTGCAAAGCAAAATATCACTGGTTCAATTCGTGGTCAGGGCACATGCCTGGATTGCAGGTTCCATCCTCAGTCAGGGTGTGTACAAGAGGTAACCAATCAATGTTTCTCTCTCACACTGATGTTTCTCTCCCTCTCTTTACCCCTCCCTTCCCCTCTCTCTAAATATAAACAAACAAATAAATAAAGTCTTTTTAAAAAAGTGTACAGTAAAGGAAAGTAAAACTTTACTACATCTCTGTGGATCGGGAGTGAATATACACATATTCATAACCATATAAACACTCAATATTAATTTAACCAAAAATTGTGCTATCAACATATAATACAGGTAGTTTCATAGGGGAGACAAAATAAGAAATAGAAATTCTTATATGCCATACCTTGAAGCCAATATATAATTAGGTAAATTTGATAAATCAAAATATGTCAGAATAATGTACTATTTCAAAATATGGAATACCAGAAGAAATAGCTACAATTGCTATTGTTTCTGGGGAGCAAGACTCAAGCATAAGGAGGGGTGGGGCAAAGGAGCACCATTTTTCCTTACTAACCTAGTAGTACTATTTGACTTTTAAAACTAAGTACCTGTATTTCTTTGATAATATTTAAGATTCCCTTCTTAGGTGTTGGTGCTCTGGATGACAGCCCTCATAAAATTCACATTTTGACTTATGCCTTGAGTAGATGTTTAAACCTCAAATTGGGGCAGACTAGGGTTGTTCTGTCATCTTAATGGAATGGAATGACACCACCAGTAGTAGGGAAAGAGAAACAAATGTATAAACAGAGAATAGCCCCGCATGTGTTGTCTATTTATTGTTAGTTTCTACTCACATTATCTACTGATAATAGTATCAGTAGTATCTACTGATACATATTGTCATTACAGTAGGCATCTGGCCTGTATTTGAATATCTACTGGGTTGGATCTAAGGTCCAGAACAAATTTTGCAGGAAGGAGGAATTCTTCTGGATGGATGTAGAGGGTAGAAATTTGCCCAACAGAAGCTGAGAGGGCTAGAAACTTGGGTAAATATTGCAAAGAGGTAGGTCTTCATTCACCAAACACTTGATAAGCACCAACTATGTGTTTGAATCTGTGTTAAATGCTAGGCTACAAAGTTGAATAATACATAGTTGCTAATCCAGTGTGGGAAGCACCAATGCACAACAATGCAATATGGTATAACAAGTGCTACAACAGGAGATACGCAAAGGTAGACACAGGAATGCAGAAGAGGGGAATCCCTAATCAGACTGAGGAGTCAGATAAGATTTTCTACAGGATCTGATGTTCTAAAATGAATCTTAGATCATAAGTAGAAGCCGGGCAAAGAAAACTGAGGGCATTCTAGAAATAGGCCAGCCTCAGGCTGCAGTAAGATAGAATGGCCTTAATTTTCCAGTGAAGACCCAGGAATGGTCATCTGCCAAAAGCATGGGTAAAGGCAATGGGTAAGAAATTTGGGGAGAGGTGAGAATTTAGAAGAGTCACTGAAGATAATGGGAGAAGCAGCTGGCATGGGCCAGGTAGGAAGATTTCTGAAAAATGACCTTGTGAAGGGAGCTATGTCCTAGCAAGGAAATCTTGGAAATCACAAGGGGTCATAGCAGAAGGCACCACCCAAGTATCAGAAACCTGCATGATTAGGAGCATGGGTGCTGATAAGAAACAGGTAATAAGAATGTTAGCTGGGAGCTCTGATCAGTCCTCACAAGTAAGGCTTTCTTTGCTTTTTTTAAGTTCCATGAGGGCAGGCATCTTGTCTATTTGGGAAACCATTGGATCCCCAGCAACAAGCACTGTGCCTGACACATAGTAGGCACTCAATAAATAGTGGGCGTATGAAACAGAAGGATATAAAAATGTCTCAGAAGCCAGCCTCATGATGTAGATGCCTTACCATCACTCCTACATCTCTCGATATGTTCTGCCAAAAATACTAGGCTCCCAAATATTTCAGATACCTGCAACTTGCTCTACTGCCCTCAGCAGTACCTCTCTTTCCTAATACTTTCCTCCTATTAAAATTCCTTGGATGCCTGACATTGCGGTAATAGATGCAGTTGCTCTTCTCCTCTCCACCCTCTGTGAAATGAAATGTCAACAGTGGTCTCTCTACATTAAGAGGTATGCTTTCATAACAGAGCCCCACTCTCCCTGAAGTAGCTCAATTATCAAAATATCAGGGAAGACTCAGGTCATCTTCAACCAACCCTTGTTCCTTATTACCTGTGCCACTTCACTGTGTTTCTTGGGGATGTTTTTCAGATGGTTAGACCGTACACAGGTGATGTTTCCATCTATGGAAAGAAAAATAATTTGATTTATATGTTTTTTTTTTCTGAAAAGATCATTTAAAAGAAAATGTCTGACAACTCAAATTCCCTCTTTCAAAGAGGCATATACAGATACAGAGAAGCAAAGTACCTATTTTAACCTCATTTTTAAGAGACAGCCTGTTTCTTAGTTTAGCCATTAAGAAGCTTATTCTGAGCTAGTATGCAATATTTTACCTCATGCTATAGATAAGCAATATGATGATATCTACTTTCTGTTTAGATTTTCAAAAGGAAATAAAATATAATGGGATTTGTTGGGGTTTTTTTGTTACTGAATAATAGCATGCTAATGTCATATATCCATTTAATTCTGCACCCTTCCCTTTCCCCTCAATCCTTGGTTTACTATTTTTACTAGCCATGGTCATCAACTGACCTCTCTAAGTTCCCAGGTAGTAACCCCACCATCTTTGGATTGCCATCTGGAACTTGGTTCACAGAAAAGGTGGATGGACTTATTTCAGTACCCATTGATGACAGGCTGTAGGAGGCAGGACAGGAAAGGGGAAACAGGTCAAATGAAACCAATGAGGACAATAATACAGGGAATGAAACACTGTTCTCTGGATAAGGACAAATAAATGATGTTTTCTTGGAAAGTATGGCATAGGTGAAAATCCATGGCTGAGAAGATCAAGATACTCCATAGACACTTCATGGTAGAAAGGAGTTCCAATCTCGCCATAAAGCAGGAGTCAGCAAACTTTTTCAGTAAGAGCCAGATGGTAAATAATTTTAGGCTTTTCAGGCCATATGGTTCCTGTCACAACTACTCAACTCTGCCATTGTAGTGTGAAAGTGGCCAGAGACAATGCATAAACAAAGGAGCTTGGCTGTTCCAATAAAACTTTATTTACAAAATCAAGCAGCAAGACAGATAATGGCCTAAGGTGGGTTTTGAAAGTGGGTTTCACATCAGATAGGTCTAAGCGTAAATCTCAGCTCTGGTACATTCTAGATTTGTGTCCTTGGGCAAATTACTTAATCTCTCTGAGCCTCAATGTCTTCATCTGTAAAATGATAGTGCTTACCCCCAGAGTGACTGTAAACAGTAAGCAAAACACTAATACATACTAATCACTTAGCAGGTGATCTGGTCCCCAGCAACAGACGAGGAGGTGAGGGCTTACAGAGGGTATAATAGGGTGGAGAAGACAACAAAACCCCTCCGATTTTCATCTGGCTGTTGTCATTTTGCGTCCGTTGATCATTCACAGGTAACACTCCAGTCTTTGTAAAATATTCTTCTGAGCTTCAATTTTCACCTGCAAAAGAAGAAACGCAATAAAACAAAAGACTTTTGCAACATACCTCAAAGAATGGAAAACAAATAGGATAAGAGAAGGCTGTCCCACAGGATTTTGGGTCATGGCCTCAGCAGGTAAGGAATCCAGAATGATGGAAAAGCAAAAGACCTAATAAGGTATTGGGGAAAGATCAAGAGTGAGCTCTTGCGTAAGCTCATCTTTTCCTCTGACCTTTCAGGCTGAACACTCATGCTACACAAGTGCCGTCAAATAGAACTTGCTATAGTAATGGAAATATTCTATTTTGGTGTTCTGTTCTACATAATATGATAGTCATTAGCCACCTGTGGCTATTGAACACTTGAAATGTGGCTCATGTGACTGAAGAACTAAATTTTTAATCTTATTTAATTTTAATTAACAATACAGTCAGCTATGCTATAATATGACAATAAGTGTTCCTACAGCATACCATGCAAAATCACACAAAAGAAATGGCAGGGTTCATGGGGAAAGTAGGGTTGGGCACATACATTCCAAAACTGTGAGTAATACACACAGGAAATACAGGAACCTAAAAAAAAATAGTGTTTTACATGTTAAATATCTAAAAAGTGAATAAATAACTATAACAGGATGGCACTTTGCCCTGACAAAAACCTGAAGTTTGCTTGTGGAAGTAGCTGCCCACCTGTGAGTTATCATGAGGTAGTGAAAGAAGGGTTGTGTGAGTGGAATGGAAATTTCCAACAGCAGATGTGAATGGGTGTGGCTCATAACACACTCAGCGAACTCAGAGAGCAGCAGATATCTGAGGTGTGTGCGTGTGTTCATTTTATGTATTTTCTTGCAACTCAGTTCAGCTGGGTGCACTTTCCTTCTTTCGTCTGGTGTTTCTCACAGATGAAATCACTTCTAAACAAATGTGAACTTTGTATTATGTCCAAATTGTTTCCTAATATATCAATCTGTTGGAACAAATTTCTATTTTCAAAGCAAGTATTATAGCAGAATTGATTTACTTAAATTTAAATAGCCACATGTAGCTAAAGCTGTCAGAATAATCACAAAAAAAAAAAAAAGCAAAGAAGAAAGGAAACAAGCATTTATATATGGCTCTAGAGTTTGGAAGACATAAGTGGCCTAAAGTTAAAATGGTAGAGTAGTTAGTATATTGAGTTTAAGGACTCCTTGGGGTGTCTGGGCAGAGCTGTCCAGTCAATCTTCCTACAAGTCTAACACCATTCACCTGATGGAACAGAGGAGTGAAGACTGAAGCTGGATACCAACCTTGAGCTGTTCTTCATAGCTCAGCCTCTAGAGTGATGTCACAACATCGGCCAGCCTTGAATAAAATAATTCATGCACTTAGTTCATTATATAAATATGTATTATGTACCTACACTATGCATCAGTACTTCCTGCCACCATTTTCTCCGGCATTTTTCTTGTCATTCAGAAGACCTAACTCTCATGCCCCTGAGGAGACAGTCTGGGAGATGAGACCATTTTTGTGCTGTCTACTTAACAAAGCAGAACAGATGGGCAAACCTATAAGAAATAAGAAAAAAAATCAAGATTTATCAGGAGATAATTAATCATATTACAAAAGGCTTTGCTGTTGAGTTCCTTTAAATAGCCTACCTCCCTAATGCTTTTAGAATACAATTTGACTTAGAAAATACATTCATTGCATAAAATAAGGCATATTTGTGTGCTTGCATGAGTGTGATGGGACTATTCATTTCCAGTCCATCTAATCTCTCTCTGGGTCCCTGGTTTTTAGTACACTCACCATGGATCTTTTTAGAGACAAGGTCGCAGTTTAATATCTCCTTCCTGCGAAAACCACACCTAAAGGCAAGGAGAATATTTTCTGTAATCCCAAAGCATTTCTCCCAACATTCCTCGGATATCTTCAAGCTTGTCCTGGGTATCTTACCTGAGGCACCCCTTTGAATTCTTGCCATACTATATTAGTTACATCCAGAATACAGAATTTCAGTAGACCCAGAGATTCAGATTTGCTAAGGAGGAAGAAAATCAGTTTGGGTCTTAGCTTTCCTGCCAGGAACTATCTAGTGGTCCAAGATGGCTTGGTTTCTTCTGACTTTTCTGTCCTCTTTGACACTTTTAGGTGATCACATGAGTGAAGTTTCCCTCATATGAGCCCAAGAAGAGCTATGACCAACTTGGAGGTTTTTTGGAACACCAGGAGAGCAGTAAAGTTTGGAGAAGAAACCCACTCTGGAGAGAAATCATCTCAGGTTGTGTACTGGGACTCTTCTCTTTATACCTGCCAACCACAAAAACACTGAGATTCACTTGCATGAACGGTGAACAAACAGAAGCTGGGAAATAGATGCACCACTTCCAAACCCCTTCATTCATTTACAAACCCTTATGCAAGCTCAGCTCCTAGCAGAGTGCCTAGCACAGTCAATGCTCAGTAAAAACAGGCCTGCTTAGCAGAACTGAACTGCTGAAGGCTAGGCACTTAGACTTCCAAAATAAGAAGATGAGGAAAATATAATCTTTGTCCTCCAGGAAAGTGTTCAACTCTCTAGATATACTCCTATGGCCAGTCTCGCTCCATATTCTACCCTCCCACCCATCAACCAACCAATCAACTAATATGCAGGAAGTGCTTATTATATGCCAGGCACTGTACCACACTAGATACTGAAGTAGTTTATAACGGTTACAATCTAATTGAGGAGAGCAAGTGTAGACCCAGGAAAAACTATAATTAACACCATATTCTTGGTTCCTGATAAGTGCTCAGGAAAGGCTCCCAGAGCAAGAAGCCTTGGACCAGGTCTTATGGTATAGCAGGGAGGTGAATCAGATATTTGGAGGACAGTGGCTTAGACTGATCTGGCAAAAATGGTAGTTATTTTAGGGAATAGATAAAATAAGACTGAAAAGTTACATGAGAGCAAGATCTGGAAGAACTTTGTTTAATATTTTTATTTCTATTTTTGGAGAGAAAAAGAAAGGGAGGGAGGGAGGGAGGGAGAGAGAGGAAAACATCAATTTGTTGTTCTACTTATTGATGCATTCATTGGTTGCTTCTCGTATGTGCCCTGACCAGAGGTTGAACCTGCAACCTTGGTGTATCAAGATGACGCTCTAACCAGCTAAGCTACCCGGCCAGGGCTGGAAGAAGTTTAATGCCTGAATAAAATATAGACTTTCTTGTGAGTTGATGGAGGCTTTATGTATAGAACTAAAGATAAAATAGGGAGGTTAATAAAAAGCAAATTCATGTTTGAGGCATGTGTTTGAAATGGTAGGGAAACAACCAAATGGAAATATCTAATAAGTAGAGAAGCAATACTGCATGTCAGGAGAGAAGTCAGAGCTAGAGATTTGGTCAAGTGTCTATAAGAAGGACAACTTCTAAGATTTTTAAAGAGTTTTTAAGAGAATATCAAAAGATCAATGACTAAACCTGGAAAAAGGCAATATTTGGGAAGCAAAAAGAGATGCTGGTGACTCAGAAGCAGGAGAGTGTAGAGCTTGGAGTCCAAGGGAGATGTCTTTCAGGAAGGCACTGACACATCTAGTAAGTCTTGAGGCCAAAGAAAGAAGGGAAGTAAGGCAACAGGGAGTGGCAGACAGTAGGGACAAATGAGTTTTCAGATCTCAGGCATGCAGGCCCTGAAGTCAGGCAGACTTGGGCAGTCAGTTCCCTGGCTCCTCCACTTACTAGCTAGGTGGACTTTAAAAAGTTAATCATTCTGTCTCATCTTCTTTTTTTCATCTGTAATATGGAGATAATAACAGTAACTATTTCATATGTTGGTTTTAAGAGTTAAATAAGGGATAATTAATAAAAAGTACTTAGCAGAAGATTAAATCAAAATAATGTTTGTAAAGCTCTGAGCAGTGTCCAGTACCTAGCAAAAACTCAGTACCGTCATGATGTTTAAAGACAATATGGGACTGAGTGGCAGTGGCAATATTGAAGGACAGTAGGGGGAAGGAATAGTGGGAATAACTAAGGAAAAAGCTAGAAGAGTTAGAACAGGGGCAGGGGGCACTTTGAAAAAAAGGAATCCCTCTTCCTCCAGCACAGGATTCTGTGTTGTAGAGCCCATTTACCTTATGTTGCCTGACCACTCATTGCTGCAGAACTTTTTTGAGTACCCAGGACATATGAATGGATTTGACCAAATACCTTACTGATCTGATGTGACACTGCCTTTTGCCCTTGCCCTCTACCTGATTTCATCTCAATATAAGTCATACCTTAATTCAGAATATCTGTTCAAAAGTCCAATATAAGTAATAGATTTATTAACTAAAAATTTTCCATAGCTCCCTCTATTATTGTTAAATTAGTGTGCCATGATCTCTAGGTAACAGAGAATGCAGACATGAGTGCTGTAATATTTAGCCTATACACCATTTTGTATGTTTGAAAAGTACTTAAGAAAGTAATATCATACTATGAAAGCATTTGGGGGGATTTCAAATTTCGAACAGAATAAATTTAAGCTGTCCCAGAGTTCAGATGTTAGTGATAGCATCCTTCACCCAACTCCCAGGAAGAGGCAAGTCATTAAAAACATGGACTTTGAGGCCATGTTGTAATCCCAGCTCTGCTTCTCACTAGCTCTGTGACTTTGTGCAAGTTGCTTAAGCACTATGAATCTCAGTGAGATAATCTATAAAAATAGGACTGATAACACCTACCTTTCAGGATTGTGGTGAGAAGTAAACAAGGTCATATATACAAAGTGCTCAGACTGTGTTTAACAAGGAAAGCATTCAACATGTGTCGCTGCCCTTCCTTAGACTCTGATTTGAAGCATGTCACTTGACTTCTTTGTGCCTCAACGTGTCCAACCTGCAAAACTGGAGAGATGTAATAATGTATGCAAGTGGTACAAAGATAAGTACAATTATATGGGAAACTTTAAAAAACAACACACACACACACCCCTTTCCTAACCTTCTGCACTAGTGTCCGCTGGAATATAGTAAGCTTCAGGCCTTGCCGGGACCACCTGTTGATACTATCAAAAGAGTGTGACCTGTGATAGACATTTTCCTCAAGTGAGACAAATGTACGTACTTAATATTAAAAAAAAAAAAAGTCCAGAGAGGAAATGAGTGAAGAGGCAGGAGACAAAGAATAAAGAATGTTGTTTCTTTTGGGAGGGCTGACTGCAGGTAAGAAGGCCCAGACTGAAGGGGGAGCGAGTGGTTCTGATCCAGGAAAAGGGCCCTGTCCCTCCAGCTGTCAGGGAAGGATGAGGGGAGCTCCAGGCCTATCTGGGGGTTGGCAAAGAAGGGACAGGGGAACTGAGGAATGTGGAGGCAGCTGCATTTAGACTTTTAGACTTTCTTGTGAGTGCGTGGGTCCTCTCACTGGTGAGTGCTACCATGAGACTCTACTTGTCCTGTACCCCAGCAGAAGGTCCCTTTTCAACATAGGTTTCTTCCTCCAAATTATCAGATATCATCTAAAATAGGATCCCATTTTTTTAGGGTGCCAACCAGCCATCTTTCCCAGTAAAGGGCCTTTCATCATATTTAGTAAATTCTGTAGTGAAATACATTTTTCAAGGCAGGAGAGTAATACTAGTCAAAGTGAGTTATGTTTCTTTATTTCATGTCAGAGGGTGCATTTGTTGACAATAGTGTTTCCTGTTTTAAATAAATACTTGGATATTTTTAAAAAGTGTGTGATAACTGCTCTATTTCTGCTTCAGGAATCTGAAAGGGACCCAGAGTCCAGAGATGCTAGTTAGAAAGACAGGCTAACTCTCTAGGGCTTGAATGGCTAACCTGCCTGAAATGCTCAAAGAAGTTCAAATCAGAGACTATGTGGTAAGCAGATCTGAACAGGGCCAAGGATCTCCTTGGAGCAAAACGTTCAAGTATAGGCAAAGTCCTTCAGTTGGGCTGTGCCCAGACAAGGTTCCACCTAACGCAAACAGGCAGATGTGTTTACTGCTTGGTCTTGACTGCAGCCCACGTGCAATCAATCAGGCCCTTCCTTTCCCCACCAGACCCTTTATAGTCTCTCCACTCGCCTCTCCTTTGGGCAAGTTCTGCCCACCGTCTGTTGGAAGGGTTCACTAGGAAAGGCTGCCACTGAACTTGGGCTGGGTGCAGGGCCCCAGGACGTCTGGAAGAGCCGGACGGAGGAGTTGGAGAGGAAGTCAGAGAACAGGCGGACTCAAGGTTACGGGCGACCTTGTGCAGCCAGCAGAGAGTCGGGTCCCGTCCCAGTCGCCACCCGTGCCAGCCTTCTCAATTCCCCGCTCTGCGGGCATTTGGCACACTCAGCATTTTTCAGTACAGTAACAGTTAAATCGGGATTTCCAGGCTCTTCCTGTAACCCCTTACCTTCGTAACCAATAAATCCTCTTACAGATGTCAGGCGGTAAACGGAAAAACCAGTGAATGTCCTAGAACGCTGCCGCTGGAGATGTCACTTCCTGGTGCGCAGGGCATCTGAAGGCACAGGCAACCAACCCGGGAGGGGGCAGTGAGACGCGCGGCTCCACCCAGGTGCCCGCCGGGCCATCTCGGGCTGCTAGTCTCTTGGAGCCTGTCTCTCTACTCTGCAGGAGGCGCTTCTCTAGGGACTTTCTGAAGCATTCCTTGCCCCATTCCCCTTCTCTTCCCTCCCACATTCTCCACCCTCCCCGCGACCCAGCCCACCCCTGCTCTCCGCAGTGTGCCGTTGGTGGATCTAGTTAAGCCTCAAAAGTCACAAAGAATTCGCAAGAAAGTGTTAATACCTTCTCCTGGGTGCTTGTAGTTTAACTCTTTCAACCAAAAGAATAGATTTAATGGTAGAATTGCAGGCATCAGATCCACAATGGACTGGAGATGAAGGGGATTTTCTCAAAACGCGACCTTTTATAAAAGGCAGCCCTATTTTGGGCCATAGGATTTTTTCAGGCATTTTCACCCTCTATTTGATATTTAATTCTATAAGTATTGTTATTAGGACAAGGTAAACCTGGTTTCTTAAGCAGATCTCAGGAAAAGGCTACTAAATATTAAAGCCTCAGGGAAAGAATTCTTTTCAACTACAGAACTCAGAGGGAGGCCAGACACCACTAGTTCATTTACCACCTCCTGGACTACATTCAATGATTCCTCTCATTTTTCGAGGGGGCACTAGCCCAGCCAAATGGGTAAGAGAATATTGAAAAATGCATGCATGTATGTGTTGTAAAAAATTGATGCTTTAATAGAATAAAATTTACAGCGAGTGAACCTATGTTTAATTACACTTTGTATTCCTCATAGTAATTGGGCTTAAAAAGAAAGCACTTTATAGTCAGCATTTCAGTTATTTATTCAGAGTATAAGATGCCTGTTATGTGCTAGGCAATGCATTAGCCCTAGTGAGTACAGCAGTAAATTAAACATGGACCAGTACCTCAAATAACAGCAAACGTTGTCATCTAGACCAAGGCTCAAAGTCCAGATCTGCCACTTGTAAGCTGTGTGAACTTAGGCAAGTTACTTAATTGCTCAGTGCCTCAGTTTCCTCAATATAAAAAATGTCCATAATAATTGCACCTTACTCACAGTTGTGATGAAGATTAAATAATTTAATACATACAAACTGCTTAGAACACAGTAAGCACACACAATAAATGTTGGCTATTAACATTCAAAGTAATTTTATATAATTTTATGCATGCAGACACATGCATATATGCCTTTAAAAAGGGGAGAGATCTTTTACTTTCCATTCTGAAGGCTGGAGCTGGTAAATGCTTAACACAAATTGTGGTTATTCTAACTGCTCTCATGGCCCTTAAGCAAAATTTGAGCTCAAACCACTGCTTTGGGTTTCTTAGCCTGCACAGCCCTATCAAGTAAGACGAGGCTAGAAAATGTACCTTTGGTTCTCTTTTCCCTTTCTCTTCTTTTAGTTTCCACTTACAGGGATAACAAGCTCTATTCTTTTCCTTGTCTCTTCTTTCCATTTCTTCTCCCCTTGTCCTTCTGCTCCTTTATCATTTCTCATCTTGGCTTTCTTTGTTGTGCCTAGCACAGAGCCAGGTGCCTAGCAGGAGCTCAATAAAGATCTGGTGAGTTAAACTGAATACCACCTTGTCTACTGAAAGGGAGAGGGCTTATCTTCACTCACCACACCACCACCTGTTCTGAGCATCCAAGCAAACTTATTTAAAGCAGGTCTGTCATTGAAGAAGGCAGACCCCGAAGAGTAAAGAGAGAAAAGAGATTAAGGAAGCTATACTGTAATCCTTTAGCCATTAACCCTTTTATATTTATTTAATCAGATAAAGCATGTTCTTCTATAAAAGAGAAATCATTGCTTATGTAAGAGGGGAAAGAAATATCCCATATTATAGAAAAGGTTAGACTCTTCAACCAGAAAGTTAATAAATGGACATGTCGTAGTTGAGAAGCAGTTGTTAAATTACATAAGAACTGAAATCAAGATAAACTTTGCTTAACTTTGTCATCAGCAAATAAAATCACAACAAAGTGAAGTATCTAGCAATTTGTCATTCTCATTTTGGTCCAAGGAAAACATTTCTGAGAGGCTACAGCATTAGCCCTCAGAAATAACATATTAAAATCACTTGGCAGTTAGGGCTGGTTTGATTCGTTAACCACATTCTTCAGGTGTGCTTTCCTTTCATCTAGGATTGTGTTAAAAGCTATGAGGGATAGACACACAGGCCATGCCCTTGAGATTGTGTGACCTGATAGGAAGATAAGACGCAAAAGTGAGAATACACAAAAATGGGCTTTGGTAATTCTAGGAAAGCAGTGACCTTCTTGGAAGAAAATGTGAAAAGTGACTTAAATGCATAGGGTTTGAATAACTGAAAGGAGGTGGAGGCTGAAACCTGAAAATGTAAATGAACAATATGTGTCCCAGGCCCATCAAGAGGCAGTTCTAGCTAAATGGGAGAGTGGTTCTGGAGTCATTGGAGATCCAGCTGATCAGATCAATAGATTAAGGAAGATAATGAAGTTCCTGTAGTGCTGGGATGAGCACTCCTTTAACAAAGGGCAGCTAACAAAGAGTTCTTCATGAGATGTTTCTAGGAGAGAACTCTAAGATCCATGTGTAGGATGGGTTTTAAGGTGCAGTGACCTGGAAGCTGAGAAAGACTGCTGCAGTCATCAAGATGGGAGGTGCCAACTCTATGAACTAAGGCAGGCCATACTACATTCTGTAAATAATTTCTCAAAATGTGGATGGGACCCATCTGCAATATAATTGGCTAGGTGATTGTAACAATCTAGGAATGTATTCTAAGAAGTAAAGATGTGAACAAAGATATATGCCAAAGGGTTTCAGAATTAAAAATATAAAGCATTTTCAAGGTCCAATATCAGAAAAATGGGGAACTGTTACATAAAATATGGTCTATCCATAGACTATAGCAAAGCCACTAAAATTACATTCATAGTATGGTGTTAGAAGTTAGGATGTCATTACCTTTAAGGTTTGGGGAGTGGCTGGCACAGGGCATTAGGGGAGAATATTATGAGAGCTCATAATATTATATTTCTTTATCTGGGTTCTGATTATATGGGTGTATTCACTTTGTGAAAATTTATTGAAATGTATGTACTCTTTGGATATGTACACTTTTCTATACATGTTATATTTCAATAAAAAAATTAACTTAAAATTGTGTCCTTTAAAAGTTTGTAATGATATGGAAATATGTGAAGAAGGCAACCTTAAGTGAAAAGGGTAGGATAAAGAATTGTGCATTCAGTATGATCTGAGATTTGTAAATAAAAATGCATTAAAAGGCAATATGCCAACTGTTTAATCTAGATACTCTTTACTTTAGGTAGTAAGCTTGGGGGTGATTCATTCGTCAGCTTCTTTTCCATTTCTATACTTTCCAAATTTTTTAGAATGGGCAGACATTACATTGATAATAAGAAAAAAAGCAAAATATCAGAGAAAAAAATGAATTGATGAATCTTGGTGAAAGCCCCAGAGACCAGACTGTGAAACTGAGAACTAGATTTTATCAGTTCCCCTGGAAGCGATTTAGACTCTTAGGGACTAATTTACACTAAGAGGATTTATAGGAAACTGGCTTACAAGCCAAGTGCTGATGAAGAATGTAGTTCCTAGTGACTGAAATATTCTTATCTTCTATCTGAGGTTATACCTACCAGCCATTAATGTACCTGAGAAACAAAACTAGAAATCAGAAAAGGTCACTTGCAATTTGAGCTTATGGAGCTGAATGGTTTTAAGGGCTCTTTGACTAGGTTATTTGTAACACATCGACCAGATCACTGTTCCTATTACTTGAACAATACTGGATAAACATGGACTCTGCCATGTTCTTTTTTCTACCATCTCTAACTAGTTAACAGAATTTTTTATCGTTACAATATTACCTGTGTCCTAGCCTCATTATACATTACAGTTGCCAAGGTAACAGTTCATCTTATATGAATTGCATTCTAAATTGGTAGCTCCTAGGTGAGATATTGGAAAGCACCTTAATTTCATCTGCAGTATATCTACAAATTATATTTACAAGAAGTCACTTCGGAGAAGAGTTACAGATGGCTAGTTGCATCCACTGTGAGCTTTAAAAAAACTTGTTTTCATTTGAAGCATCTATAATTTCTTGATTTATGTGTCCAATATTTTGCAAAGTGTGTCTTTTTGGTTTGGAGATACATATTACTTTTGGGGCCCTTCAGTTTCACAACAAACATCAAGGGTTTTCATGATAGTACCTAAGAGAATGGCACTGGCACTTAAAAATAAGAAAGTCAGAAAGGGAGTCTTTCAGAAGAGGGAGAAGATAGTGGAGCATCAAGTGAAAGTCCAGTGGGCATGTGGAGAAAGAGTTAATATAATAAGAAAGCTCTTATGTTGTATGTGGGATGAATTACCCTGGAAACTGTCACCAAACTACCTAGCTGCCTTTATGTTCTGGTTTCTAGGGTAACAGATGTCTTCTACATCAGATTTAGATGGATGGTGCTGATATTCATTTTTCCACTTAATAAGGTCCCAACCCTTTGCTTTGTATAGCGTTGAAATTTGCAATTCAAGATCAATGGCATTCCAATCATAGCTTCTCATCCCTCAGAGCTAGATATAGAGAAATAACATGGGCGCACCTATACCATGCCCTGCTCCACACCAGAATGCCATCAGTATATGAACTTCAGCTTCATGCCTGGATTCAGCATCAAGGTTACAAATTCTACAACTACCGAGAGGCTATAATTCCAATCCTCTCCAAATCACCATCCTCAGCTGCTCATCTCTACTTTCTTCCCTGATACTATGCACCTATATTTTTAAGAGCCATTATTAGGTTGAATGGAGTGGTAGGACTACATTGCTTTCAAGACGCCCCCCCCCCCGACTTACGTTCAACAATTCTGTGAAGGAACTGGTAGATGAAATACTGTCTGCTCTATAGCCATTGAGTAGTTTAAGACATGCTATTTGGTTTCTGATCTATGAAAAAGATATTTTCTAAATAAACTCAATCACATTGGAAGTGAAAGTGATTATCCAGGACAGCCCTT